TTTTTTTTTAAGATGTTGTTTATTTTAGAGAGAGAGAGAGAAAGAGAATGTGCACGTGGTGGGGAGGGACAGAGGGGGAAGAGAATGTCAAGCAGACTCCACGCTGAGCGTGGAGCCCAAAATGGGGCTCGATCCCACAACCCTGAGATCACGACCTGCACCGAAACCGAGAGTCAGACCAAGAGTCAGATGCTTAACCTACTGCACCACCAGGCGCCCCTGGAATACTTGCATCATAATAACAGGTAACTGTTTTGCTAAGTGCTTTCCATGAATCCTCACATTCATCCTCAAGTAGGAACTATTATTATATGGCTATTTTTAAATGGGGAAATTTGAGGCATAAAGAAGTCAAGTAACTTGACTAATGTTACCCGGCTTTTCAATCCAAGACCTGGGATTTTTCACCCAAGTCGGCCCCATAGTTTCTCAGCATCTGGTGAACGTCAGCAAGCCAAGTCTCTTTTCCACTCTGTAGTCTCAGGATGTCCTATGACTACCTCATCTGTAATGGAATGTAGGCATTACAGTTTTCCACACAGAGCTTAAAACCCAAAATTCAGTAATAAATTCTGTATCTAAGATAATGTTCTGAAAATCATGTATAACGTATGGTCTATTTAGAGCATTGGGAGGTATCTGGTCAGGTCTGCAGAGTTACTTTAATTACCTTCCAACTGGACCGGAGATGAGTAAAAGGTGTGCTTCTGATCTTAGGGAACATATGTTCCTGCATCAACACAAGACTTTACCTAGAAAGAAGTTGGACACAGTGAAGTCCAGCTCTTTAGGAATTACTGCCTCCTCACAACTTCAGGCTTTCGTTCGTGTTACTCCATCTGCCCAGACTGCCCTGCCCTACCACTCAGATGTGCCAAAGGTTCGTCCTCTGAAGCCCAGCCCAAATATGACCTCCTTCTTGAAGTCTTCTTGGATGCCCTGGCAGAAATAATTATTGATGCTTGGTGATTGTCAATGCTTGCCCCTAACACACAAAGCAGGCTGACACTTAACTTCAGGAATACATTGGCCTTATCTCGTCAGGGTCTTGCAACGTCTCACCTCCTCACCCTTTAGTCTCAGGTGGCCCAAAGTCTTCCTGGTTCTTCCCCACCTCTCTCAAGGCTCTTTCTCAGGTTCCTCCTGAGACTCCCTTTTGCATGACCAGGAGAATACCAATGGTGTTCATAAAGGCTTCATCCTGACTCTCCTCATACTTCACACAAATCTTCTGGTGACTTCAGCCACATTGCCAGGCCCAGCTACCGGGTATTCTGATGACTCCCATATACCCATGCAGTACATCCCCCATTCACTCATCAAACATTCATTGAGACATACGCTATGCAAAGAACACACCACGCTCTGTCTCCAGGCCAGACCTCCCCCTTGACCGCTCTATGGGCAACCTACTTGGATCACCACTCCTGGATGCCAATGCCATTAATACTCTAACCCCAAATGGCAACCATCCTAAGAGGCACATTTCTTCACATTTCCACACAGGTAATATTGAGATATGTCTTTTAAAAAGGGCATCTTAAAAAATTCTGGCAATAGGGGTGGGTGCCTGGCTGGCTCAGTCCGTGGAGCATACAACTCTTGATCTTGGGGTTGTAAATTGAAGTCCCACCTGGTGTGTTAGGTGTTAGAGATCACTTAAAAATATTGGCAATGTTTTTCCTAAAACGTTTTACACATATATAAAGGTGGCTCTTACAAACAATGGCATCTTATAACGAACTGCAAAGATTATCTTAATGTATTTCCCTTCATTGTTCTACAACAGTGCTGTTTACCAGAACTTTTCTTCAGTGATGGAATTGTTATTCAATACAGTAATAGCCACTGGCCCCACATGCCCTGAAGTGTGGCTAGTAGACCAAGGACAATTTTTAATTTTTAATTTTTAATTTTTAAAAAACTTTTAATTTTATTTCATTTTCATCTACATGTTTATCAATTTCTTCATCACTCCTTTTTGCATCTCAGCCCTTCCTCCCAGAACCACTTTCTTCTTCCTGAAGTATTTTCTTTAAGCAGTTTCTTAATAAAGGTCTGCTGTGGCAAGATTTAGATTTTTAGAAAGCATATTTTGCCTTTTTCTTGAATGACAGTTTTGCTGATATATAATCAGCAGTATTTTCTTTTAGTATTTTGAAGATATTTTTTCCAGCCTCAATCACTGCTGTTGAGAACTCAGCTCATTATTCCCTTGATGAACAATCAGCCTTTTCTTTCTGGGTGTTCTTAAGATCATCTTTTTTATTTTGGTGTATTGAAGTTTTCCTATTTGTAGACATGGATTTTGTTTTATTTATCCTTATTAGTTTATGTTGGGCTTCCCTTATCTGTCCATAAATTATTTGAATTTAAGGAACACTGGTCATTTATGTCCTTCATAAACTCTCTCTGGATATGATACACTAGATCTTCAAATATAACTTCCCTCCATTTGTTCTATTATCTTTCTGGGGCTCTGAACGGATCTCCTTATAGCCCTTCTACCCTTCAACTACGCTTTCATGTTTTTCTTCTCATTTCTATGTTACATTCTGGATAATTCCTTCAAGCTTTTTTTCTAGCTGATTACTCTTTCAGCTGTTTCTAATTATTGAATTATTATTTCAACAGTTACAATTTTTTCCTTAGGTGTTGTTTTTGTTTGTTTGTATTTTTCCAAATCTGCCTGGTCAATTTTCTTTTCAGCAACAACAAAAACACCTAGGTTTATACTGCTCTTGTACACAATCTTTCACCCCACCCCACCCCATTTTATTGAGATATAATTGACATATAACACTGTATCAGTTTAAGGTGTTTAAGATACAACATAATGATTTGATATTTGTATACTGCAAAATGTTTACTACAGTAAGTTTAATTAACATCAGTCGCCTCCCATAGTTACCACTTTTTTTTCTTCTGATAAGAATTTTTTAAAAAAATATTTTATTTATTTGAGACAGAGAGAGAAGGTGAGCATGGGGGCAGGGGGGAGAGACAGAGGGAGAAGCAGACTCCCCACTGAGCAGGACTCTGGGATCATGACCTAAACCTAAGGCAGAAGGTAGACACTTAACCAACTGAGCCACCCAGGTGCCCCCTGATGAGAACTTTTAAGATCTATTCTCTTAGCAACTTTCAAATATAAAAAACAGTATTGTTAACTCCAGTCACCATGCTATATTATATCCCCAGAACTTATTTGTAACTAGAAGTCTGTACCTTGACCACCTTCCCCATTTCCCCCACTCCTCTCCTATGGCAACCACCAATCTGTTCTGTTTCTATGAGTTTGGGTTTTTTTAGTTCCACATATAAGTGAGATCATATAGTATGTGTCTTTCTCTGACTTATTTCACTTAACGTAAAGCCCTCATGGCCCATCCAAGTTGTCACAAATGGTAACCTTTCCTTCTTTTTATGGCTACATAATATCCCTGGTCAATTTTTATCTCATGCTCTTTGCACTTATTTGTGATTAACTTTTATTTCTTAAAACATTTCAAACATTGTTATTTTATATTCTGTATCATAATTTTAATATCTAAAGTTCTCAGGGTTCTAAATGTATTGTTTGTTTCTGGTGACTCTCACTCTTGGTGGTTTGTTTTCTAGAAGAATTGGAGATCTTTTATTCTGAACTCATATTTGGTTGATCTTAGGAGAATCCTAAGGTCCAAAGAAGGGATGCCTTCCTCCAGAAAGGAATTGTATTTGCTTCTGCCAAAAGCCAATGGGCACTACCTACCCGGGCCATCTTAGGTTCTTTTCGAGGTCCTGGTGGAATGCAGGCTGCTCCCACCTTGCCACTGACCAAAGGCTTAGTCTCCAACCACAGTTGTGATATCAGCATTTGCCCCAGTGGCAACCCATCTTTTGTGGTTGTTTATACACCTTTGGTTTAATTTTCCCTTTGATGGTTGATCTAATTGAGGTAGGAGATTTTGGAAATGTCTTAGCTTCCGGGATCCCAGAAGTATATTAAAAAATATTTTATCCAGGTAACAATGGGGAAGTGTGTTAGAGTATCCAATCCACTATACTGCTAGAAATCTAAGTCCCCTACTAATGATCTTCCCTCAAAGCCTACTTTTTGTCCTTTGTTTTATATTTTGCTCAGTGACACCATTCACTCTCATCCAAATCTGAAACCCAATATGGCATGTACCAACGATCCCTCTCTTCCCTCCACTGTCCCATGTGCAACTAGGTACCAAGTTCCAAATTCTTGAGTGATCAAAAGTGAGCTTGCATTTATCTTTCTGATTGGCATGGCATCTAGTAGTATAATTTTAATCATCAAAGGACAAGTAAGAAAAATAAATGAAAATAAATTAAAACCCAAATCATGCATTCCTGCCAAAAGACGGTGCTTTATATGAAGGAAGCTTCGAATACAGGGAAGAAGACAGAGAACTGAGTTTCATACAGATCCCAAAAGAACTAGAACTTTGGCAACAGAACCATAATCACATTTCCAAGGGGAGGTTTTATTTTAGTCAAACAAAATTACCTGTCACGATAAACTAATGTTAATTTGCATTTTATTGGTTTTGTAGTTTTGCTTGAATTTACTCTATAAATTTGTCATTGTTTTATAGTTAATAAAAGAGCTGAAGCGTAAGGAGTTTATACCTACTTTTATGTTTGAGCATATTTCAACTACTTAATAATAAAAATATTTATGTCAGTAGAGTGGATTTGTGAGAAATTATTTCCTCTAAATAAAGAGGTCCATAAATTATTGAGATTTAAGGAACACTGGTCTTTATGTTCTTTGCCACCTTTGATATTCATCATTCTCTCCATAAATGAATACAGAAAAATGGAATACAACAGCATAACCAAGACATCATTGACTAAACTCGAATTTCTCCCCAATTCTCCAGCTGTTGGAATTAGCTTCATACGGATGAATCTTTTAAGGCAGGATGCTTTGTTTCTTTCCTCCAATAGTGGCAGTTTCTAGGATGTAAGACATATGCTCTCCCCAGGTCCTACCATCACCCACTTCTACTCAAATTTATAAAATGGCACAAATGTACCTGGAAACAGCAAATGAAATGTGTCAAACAAAGGACGGTCCTCGCCTTAAGGAAGTCCATTTCCTGACTGAGTTTCAATAACCGGGAATCCGGGTGAGTACTGCATTGTTGTTCTGAATGAGTACAAGAAATTCCCAATCATTTCTTTTTAACTTCAATATTTTTATTCTTTATGGACTGATGGACTCTGGTTCCTTCAGTCTTCATGTATTTCATTTTTAAAAGTCCCTCTTACCAAGATAAAACTTTCTCTCCAACATACTGGCCTATCTGTCAACATCTTCTATTTCTCTTCCCACAGGGTCCAACTCCATCAGAACCAGAAGGGAAGTCACTGAATATCCATGTCATCTGTTATTAGGCAGAGAACACTGAGGCCCAGAATGCTGAAAGGCTCTGATGGGCACAACGCAGAACCTGGTTCTACTCAGTCTTGCCCACCCAGCCCAACTCTGTGACTCCTCTTCAAATTAATGACTTTGGTCACCATTAAACTTTTGTTGTTTTTAAAAAGTCAAAGAATTGGATAGTTTGCTAATAACAGTAATTTGAGGATATCCACACACGGTATGTGAAGGAACAACCTGAGTTTCAGTAAAAATCTAAAGAAAGTTTCTTAAGTTCTGAAACCTAATTCCAGAATTCTTTTTGGAAGTGTTTTTTTTTTTCTTTTATTGTTTTCATCTTCATTTTTTTATCAGAGCACATTAACTCAGGGAGAAAATGAGATTGCCTGTTTATTCAAAGAGAGAAATAGAACATTCTACTGTGAGTTTTAAAAACAATGCTGTGACTACATGTAACTCTAATTCAGCAGTTCTCACATTCAGATCCGGGCTGGGGCACAGGAATATGCATTTTCTAATTGAATTATAGTTGACACACAATGTTACCTTAGTTTCGTGTGTACAACACAGTGATTCGACAACTCTGTACTTGATGCTCTGCTCACAAGTGTAGCTACCGTCTGTCACCACACAACACAATCACAATAGCATTGACTATATTCCCTATGCTGTGTCTTTTATCCCTTTGACTTATTCATTCCATAACTGGAAGCTTCCATCTCCCATGCCCCTTCACCATTTTGCCCATTCTCCCAACCCCCTCCCCTCTGGGAACCTTCAGTTTGTTCCTTGTATTAATGGGTCTGTTTCTGCTTTTTGTTTGTTTATTCATTTGTTTTGATTTTTAGGTTACACATACAAATGAAATCATATGGTATTTGTCTTTCTCTGACTTAATACACTTAGCATAATACCTTCTAGGTGCACCCATGTTGTTGCAAGAATATACACTTTTTTTAAGATTTATTTATTTATTTGGAGGGGGGAGGGGCAAAGGGAGAGGCAGAGAGAGAGTCTTAAGCAGACTCCACACTGTGCACGAAGCCCTACACGAGGCTCAGTCTCACAACACTGAAATCACAGCCTGAGCCTGAGCCAAAATCAAGAGTCGGCCGCTTAACCAATTAAGCCACCCAGGCACCCCGCAAGATTATACATTTTTAACAAGGACAAGTGATGATAATGTTGATGGTCTGAAGGCCACTGGATGGAAAACACGGATCTATACAACTTAAGTTAACTTTGGTATTTCTACCTAATCAAGAAAGGAAGGCAAGGAAAGGAAGGAGGAGAAAGGAGTAGAGTAAGAGAAAATGCGAAAGACACAGTACACAGCCGATAGACAGACGTGGTGTTACCCTTCAAGCACGTGGAAAAGCGGCTTTCATGGAGTAACATTCCTAAACTCTGACCTAATAAATTACGCCGAGGGCTGCTGCAAAGAATGTTTAAAACCAACTCAGAGCAGAAATGGCATTCCCACCCAACAAACAGGTGAAATCAAAGGCTAGTACAGGGTTTGGCAGATTTCAGGCCCTCATGAAATATTTGTTTAATTAAGAAGCAACTCTGGCTCTAGCTGGAAACCTATTTAACCACAGAAGTGAAATCATAATTAATATGATCACATCTTATTTTCCCCCTGGGTCTGTTTCCTCAGGGCATCCATAATGTCTGAATTGAAAATGGAACAGTAAGTATTATAATAACAACATTTGTTGGAAAGCTCATCCTAATTTTCAAAGTTCATAAATTGATGGATATGTCTTTATTCTTTTCAGATTTTTTCCAAAGGAATCTGAACTTTTAAAATTACATGTGTTATCCACCTTTGACCAAATAATCCTGGCAAGCAAAACCTTCTTCTGGAAAGGACAGCTGGGAAAAAAGAAAAAGGGACGAATAGGAGGAATAATTAATTGAAGGGAAAGAAATCAAGGGTAAAGAAGTCAGGCATTAAACGTAGCTAAAAATACAAGCTGCTACTTCAAGGTCCAGATATGATATCATTTTAACCCCAACAGACTTGTTTAAAAGAAGATGATCAGAGCTCCTGAGTATCCTGGGAGAGGGGACCCCCCCCCCGAGCTCTACATATCCACCACCAGTCCAGCTCGCTCGCTCACTTATTCATTCATTCATTCAGTCAGTCCTTTTTACTTCCTTCATTTCAGGACAACATTTAGCAGTGTTTATTTTATTCCTTCTAGTCAAAAGAAAATCCTGATGTTAAATCAGGAAAGAAAGTTGTATTTACAAATTAATGTCTACTGTGAAGCTGAGTGCACAGATTTCTTTCACAGATGTAGGGGTGAAGCACCGCAGAAAGTTCATAGGCTTGGGACTCTGAGAGAAATGGGTTCGAATCCTGACTGCGTCACTTACCTGAGTGACCATGAGACTCATCATTTAACTTTCTGAGTTCGTTTCCTCCTCCATAAAATGGGAACCGTACCATCCACCTCCTGGATGCAATGAGAATTAGGAACAAAGTGTCCTAAGGGATCTAGCAAAGTGCCCGGCACACAGCAAGTGGCTGTTCTTACTGTTAATTTGCACTGGCTGCCTTGGCCTGAGGGCCCCACAGTTTTCTGTCTGGGCAGGTGAGTCTGAGGCAAGTGTTCTCCAGGCTATTTTATACCCTTTTCCTGGTGGCAAAGAGCTCCCACGTGAAGCCCTCCTCAAACGACTATTCAGCACCAGGCCCTTGGGAACTGGGTTCTGTTCTCTCTTGAGAACAGAAGAAATGAAAGTCATTCTCCTCAGGCTCTCTCAAAGGGGCCTTCACCTTCAAAAAGCAATTATTCTATCGTTTTCACTATAATAAAAGAAGCCAAATAAGCGACTCCCAAATTGTCACTCTTGGAGCGAGTTAATCCCAAACACTTGAATAAGTGGGAGAGTGGAAGGCATAAATAGGAGAGGAGGGGTTGTCAGTGGGCTCTACCCGCCTGCACCCACAACTGCTGTGATGCATGATTCCTCCTGAAATCGGGACCCCGCCAGGATATACCAAGAAACAACATAAAGTCAGTGGAGAAGAGGCTACTGGTTCTTACCAAATTTCCCCAGCCCTTGGGCAACAGCCACATGTTCCAAAGCCCTTTTCCATGGCAGTCCTATCTGGGATTAAGAGAGATGGAGAACATGAGGGACAAGGGCACTGACTCCAGAGCCAGGTTGCCTGGGTCCAATACCTGGCTCCATCCCAGCCTAGCTGTGTCACTCTGGACAGGTCATGCTAAAGGGGCATAATGATAGCACCTAACTCACAGGACTGCAGCAAGAATTGAATGGTTTAATATATGTAAAGCACCTACGTTAGCTATTATCATTACTATGAAAGCATTACTCTTGATTACCAAGGCCAAGAGTACACTCTCTTCTCAGAAAAGGACTGCTGTATTTCTTCAGAAGGCTACCCCCAACTAAAGGTCTCTAAATTGAATTGTATTTTAGATACATGAGAAAGTCATTCTGGTTTGTCTAAAGCAGTGGCTCTAAGCCAGGGTGGCATCAGGAGCACCTGGAAAGCTTTTCCAAAACGTGCATGTCTGGGCAGTGGGTCTGGTTTGGAGCCCAGAATGTATATTCTGACAAAGCAATGTCACTCGAATGCCCACCTGGAGGGGAGAAACACTGGGTGAAAGCAAGTTCCAACTCTACAAGGCCAACCTTTCTTGGCAGGGTGGGGAGAGTTCAGGGGTGTTTCAAGGGTAGCACTGCCCACAAAAATGTTTCTGGAACCTGTCTGCTGCTGCTTGAAATTCCTTTAGCAGGAGGTTCCCACTGCATAAATCAGAAATATATTTTAAACTAGAAAAGGAACCAACCGTGGTTGAGCATCTACAGCATGGCAGGCCCTTTACGTACATGCCCCATTCCTGAAGATCACCTTGTGGCACTTACTGTACAAAGAAGGAAACTGAGGAGCAGGGAGGTTCTGTAGCAGAGCCAAGATTCAACCCCAGGTGGGTCTGCCCACTACACCACACCACCTCCTGGCCTATCAGCTGCACTCAGGAACCCTGGACACAGTTCTAAATCAAGGACAATGAAACAGGACTGGAGGAGGGGCCTCACATACACAACCCAACACACACACACCGCACCCCACCCCTAGTCTTTTCAGGTTGTACTGAACCAGGAATACGCTGAATTTAAAGATGCAAGGAAGGAGTCCTCCACTCACCCGTCACCTCTTCTTCCAGGAGAAGATTTTAGGGCAAATCTCAAACTCACCAAGTCTTAATGCTACATATGTACAACTGAAAGGTGTTAGCTTTAAATCTCTTTTTTCTTCATAGGCAAAGATGAATTACTGGAAATAGCTAAAAATGGGAGAAATTGTCCAATATACCTCAAAACAGCTACTATGAAGCTCAAATAAGATCACAATATCCACAGTAACATGAGCTAGAACTTATTGAACTTAATCAACGCCAAGAATACATCATCTTCCGACAACCCCTAGAGATTCCCATTTTTCAGATGAGAAAACTGAAGTAGGAAAAAAGTTAAAAAAAAAAAATTGTCTGAAAATCGGTTTGTAAATGGAAATTAAAACCCAGGATAAAATCTAGCCTTTTCAACTCTTAAGTCTAGTACGTTATTTTGTCTATAAAATCACTATGTAATCTGTGAAGTCTTAGAAAGATATTACTTTCCCCCTTATTAGGGAATTTTCATGAGCCACCAAGTGCCTCAAAGCTGCAGAAAAAGCAAAGGGAGCAGATAATCTATAAACTGGAATCTCATCCCTGGAATAAATAAGAGAAGTTAATAAACCTATTTTCAGCTTAATGAATAGAAAATAAATAGAAGCATCCAAAGAAAATGAAGGCAATCAAGAAACTAAGGAGAAAAACAATAGGCCTGAGGAGAAACAATGCTATTTACTGAGAAACATCAAGGATGAGAACAGGGAAGTGATTCACACAACTATAAGAAAAAGATTCAGGGCCCAAGGCAAGCTGGTTGTAAGGAATGGGGGAGAGCGGGGCGGGCAGGAGACAAGGCTCAAGGTGCTGCCTTCCTGGACCAGAAAGACAAGGGCTGAGGTCACCAAGCCAGAGAAAGGAAATGACGGGAGCCCTGCTGCCTAAGTGATTAGTCAGAGTGTGAGGAACACCACACTTCCTCCCATTCCCCACCCCCCCCCGCAAATGCTAGAGA